TTCTAATTTTTTTTGAAATCAAAGTTGTAGTTCAACTATATAAACTTGTTTTTTGCTTACCTTTCTTGCTTATTGCAGTAGAGGTTAGTAATGTGGAATATAATCAAATGGTTGCACCTTAAGAGCCAGTTTTCGTTCACCATAGTGCCTTCCTTTGTTTCCACTATGGTGAATTCAACCGCTTCCTCTCCAACATCTAGCAAAGCTTTGTTTTCATTGAATGGGATTAGGATAACCAGGATGGGGCACTACTAGCAAAATTATTTAGTTACTCTTCTTCGTGGCCACTGGGAGATGGGGGTAGCTGATGCAATGATCAACATCTGTTGGTAGATGACTATTTGACAACTTGTGGTCATATGAACCAACCTGGTAAATTTCAATAATATGGGGTCCTTGGAAAATGACAATTAAGGAAAGGGAAAACACATAATAATAGACACTATTTCACCATTTGTTATTAGTTAATTCATACGAAACAGATGTTCCAATTGCGGATGATATGTTCTCTCAGATAAACTTAACCAACATCTCGAATTCCATCTTGGAAAATCTTTACTAAGGTGGTTGTTAAGGCATGTATGACTATTACGTGAATGAAGTTGGGCATTTTAGCCCATCAAGCTGTCACATCCACCTACATAACCTCCTTGTTTGATAAATGTTCATTTAGGAGGTGGTGAGCATGGTCTCATGTTTTACTTTTTTTCATTCAACACTTCACATCCATCTACATAAATATATATTAACTTGGGCATTTTAGCCCATCAAACCAATATTGAATCATAGTCTAATGTGGAATTAACAATCACGCCATTGTCGAAAACATTGCAAATGAGTAATAACTCCATCGTTCAAAAATATTTAACCAACACCATAATAGTCCTTATGACAATTTTTTTGGTATTTACAATAATTACTATACATATGAATTTAGCAAAATAAATTCAACAAATCATCCCTAGTAGATATGATATGCCTGTCTAAAAAACACCGAACATTATCTTTATTCGCCATTAAGAGAGATCAAAATAAATGTTACATCTGAAAGTATGATATTGCTTTTGGTTCCACTTCCATCGGGAAGAACAAAGTTTTGTAGATAGATTGAAACTCCATTTCCAAATCACTTGATACATTCCAAAGAGCACCATCACCTGTGACCAATAAAAATTGATTAGCATCAATATATGAGCAGCTGAAACTAGTTCCCAATCTTTCTTTACAACTAATACAGAGAAATGAATTAGTACATAATTCAGCAAGGCGCAAAATAAAGTACAACAAGCATGTATATGAATTGCATTGAATGATATCTATTAGCATATCAAATTAACTTTCATAACCTAATACTCGATTGTTTGTAGATGGGTTGTATTTGAAATTAGTCCATAAGATGAAAGGTTAGTTGTTTGGTATTGAAGCAAACTTAGCAGATCAACAACTTGGGCTAGTGTGAATAAAAACATGAATGTAGGATATGCAGGTGAAAGATCCCATTTGGATCCCCATCAACCTCAACCAATAAGTTCTTCTTGTTAAATTATCTCACCTACCAAAGGTAGGAGGTACAACTGTTATTGGAAAAGTTTCTAATTATAATAAGACTGATATGCGATGCCAAAAAGAAGAAGAATCTGATAGGAAGTACAACTTTTATGATAATGTATGAAGACTTGTATTCTGTCTATACAAACAAAAGAAGAATCGGTTGCAGCTCAATCTAAATGAAGGGCTGTAATTGATGATTTAATGAAAGCCAAGAAATTGAGAGCAAAACATATGATGATTTTTTGCAACTCTACTAGTATTACAGATGCAACTACCGAAGACATGGGGATGGACTGGTCTATGAAGAATTCTAATGATTACACTCTAAACCTAATTAAATATTTTGAGTATGTACATACTATATCTAGACTGTCAAACTCGTATGCCCATCTACTAGCTTATAATGCTTGTAAATTTAAGAATGAAGGTTCTTATGTATTTAGTTTTGATGTCTAATATAGTATTCAAACTCATTTAATATAAAGTTCACTATCTATTCAGATTCATCTAATATAAAGTTTACTAGTTAAACCCTATGAACAAGAAAGAGTCACAATCTTTCTAACTCATGCCTCAATAGCACCACATGCCTTTATAGCAATATTGATAAAATGTAACCAAGATGAGCATTGGCTTAGTTTTTTGGCATAGCTTGAAATTCCATCTCTATTGCCATTGAGACCTTACACGAAGCAAGTTTTGCACCATCTCTATCCAAGAATTGATTGGTGTCGATAGAAAAGCAAATGGCAAAAGTTCCAAACCATATTGGTGTAACTCATACACCACAAGTAATACATCACATATAATTAATTTAATTAATACACTATTTCGTTGTAACACACACAGCTGTATAGATGGGTGGATGACCTGAATGAGCTAGTGATGTTTTACTCTAGTTAGGATTGCAATATTTATGCACCAATCTTCCACATAAAATTATTGTATCATTGAAGGCAAAATCCCATGGGGCATTTTGACATAAACTATCCATGTACTTCATTACAAAAAGCCCACATTCGGTCCTGCACAACACGTATGGCGAAGTTACTTTGCAATACTTAAGATATGTACCAGTATATTAAATACGGATGGTAAACAACGTGATAATCATACCCATTGGCATGTTGGAATGGAGCATCCTTGTATACTTTAAATCCCCACTCCTAAGAGTTTACTCCTGTAGTAGTTGGACTAAAACAAATATTGATTACAAAGTCAATGATAATTATGGATTAATACAAAAACACTTGCACATGAAAATATTGCAATGCATATACGCATACCATTGTTCTAGCAAATTGCTTGTATATAGCAGACTGAATTGAACTATACCATTCAATGTAGTCACTATCCCCGTTTATTACCAAAAGATGCCAATGCCCATTATTTTGCACGGTTATAAATACTTTGCTATACCGTTACCTTAGAAGATGACCAATATAGGGCTCTATTGCAGCATCATCACCCGTTTTAACCATTTCCTAATATATGTATTTGAAAAGAGAAAAAATAGATTATTCAATATATGGATACATAATAAATGAAATAAAAATGGTTATTATAGGTGAAAAAAATCTACTACAAGATGTTGGTTCCATCAGTCCATATCAGACCAAATAATTTCACTACATATGTGGAAACTGTATTAATAACTCGATAAATCAGGGGTGTATTATTTACTTATGTCTAATGCATGTGTAATCAACCTAGTAATTGGAGCTGATAGAAACCGTCTAATTGTTGATTGTTGACTCTTAGATAACTGGCATTTGAAGTTGCAGGATCTCCATAATCTTTTTCCATCGATGACCTGAAATATAAAATGTTGCTAGGTTGTTAAACTTGTTTTGCCAACCCATCATATTTAATAGATACAATATGGAAATATACCTCCTTATTTGATGGTGATGTTGTACTATCTACATCAATCGTGTACATTTTCTCAATCCTTTTTGCTCCTTCGTTAACAAATGGTGAACACAAAATATGAACTTTCTTTCTTTCTCGCCTGGAGTGAATCTTCCTACCACCTTCGTCAGGTTGATCTTCTTCATCACATTGTTTTTCTTCCCATACTTGTGATGGTAACAAGGACCGAAGATAAATGTTCTCCTCGGTTAATTGTGCAACCTTTGATTTAAGACTTCTAATTTCCAAAACCAATTCCTGATTTGAGGAGGCTCCTTCCTCATCTTCTTCACCATCCAACAAAGCCATTTCTTCATTGGAGGTAGGAACTAAAATTTGAAGAACCTTAAAAAAAATGAAGCACAAATGTTTTAGAACAATAATCTATGTTAGAAGATTGACATTATAGATAAAATCCCATTATATTACCTCATCATCCACAAGCATGGCAATAGTATTACTATATGTTCTCCTTCGATGATAAGTGGTGGTAGACCATTTTGCAATTCTTGGAAATGCATCTATCATGGAAGGAATCCATAAAGTGGAATGTTTAAACAACCAAATCTGCAGGTGACAAGATAAGAATTCATTCAATGTTAGCATACAAGGTTTATTAAATGGAATTAATTTTTATACAAAATGTAAACTTACGATGAGTATAGTAGCACAACCACGTAGCTACCTAGATTTGGGTGGTGCCTCATTCATCATTGACATAGAGAGTTCATTCAAACTATTTAGTAGCTCCCTATGAACAACACCAGTCCAATCATAATCTCTTAATTCTTCAAACTTATCAGCGTACTCAAACCATTTACTGTCAATGTTATAGCAGGTCTTTGTAAAAAGGAATTGACCCAATATATARACAATAAGCAACTTTGGGACATATTTCCTTTCTACTTTCTTGTTTCCTAACAACTCCCTAATTTTTTCTTCTAAATCGCCCCATTGTATCACATTTTTTCCAAAGATTTTCGTTTGTAAATGTAATGTATGTGGGGCCATGTACAAATCTACAAAATTGCCTCTCGTAGGCAAACCCAAAATCAAAGTTACATCAGATGCCATGAATGTGACAAGCTTTCTCCCTAACCTAAACGAAGCTGACTACATGTCCCAACAATTCACAAGTGCAGATAGAAGTGACTTCTCAGACATTACATCTAGGAAGTCAAGAAAATGTGCAAATGGTGTTTGTCCCATGACATCTTCAACACCCTTATGGCTAGACAAATTAAGTGATGAAATAAATTTCACCAAATGGGTGATACTATTTCTAGTGTATACTTGCATCTTGCGTTGTAAATATCTACAGAAAATAATCAAGGTCAGTTAAAACAAGTATATATACACAAGGAAATAATGAAGAATTCATAGTGCTAAGTATATCAGCTTGAGATAAAACCAATTGTATAAAGTTTCCCCTTTTTGCATGTTTGATTCACATAATTAATTCCACTACTCTGAAGTTTTTAAATCTTTCATCAAATTTGCTCTCAGGCCCATTGCCTTCTACTCTTGGAAAATGTGTGATGGTGGAATTTAGCAAAAATGGTCTCTCTGGTGATATATATATTATGAAAAGCTGGGGTGATACTTTAGAGATCATTGATTTGAGTTCAAATGCATTGTCTGGAACATTTCCAAACCTTACTTATCAATTTCAGAGATTGTCTTCTATTAAGATCATTTATAATTCTTTAAGATGTGACCTACCTATTGAATTTGGGACCTATCCAAGACTAACTATAGTTGATCTCAGCTCAAATGAACTTACTGGGCCCATTCCAAGTAGTTTCTTCACTTCATTGTCATTGATAAACTTGAATACTTCAGGAAATAATTTCATAGGAAATATTCCTCTTCAAGGCTCAAGGACAACAGAGTTATTGGTTTTACCTTCTTATTCGTAGTTGGAGTCACTTGATTTCTCTGGCACTTCATTGACAGGTTCCTTGCCTTCTGAGCTAGGTAACTTAGGGAAGCTTAGGTTGCTAAATCTGGCAAGGAATAGCTTGTCAGGAGAGATACCAAGTGCAATGAGCAAGCTTAATGGTTTAGAGTACCTTGACTTATCCAATAATAATTTCAATGGTAAGATCCCTGACGGGCTTCCATTTAGTCTAAAGGATTTCAATGTGTCTTATAGTGATCTATCAGGACAAGTTCCTAAAAATTTGGTGCATTTTCCAAATACTTCATTTCATCCTGGAAATAYGCTACTAATCTTTGCAAATATTGTGCCTTCACAGAGCAATAGCCCCATGAGTTTTAATGGTAAGGGGCAACATCACAGTTCAAAATCTAATATCAGAGTAGCATTTATTATTGACTCTGTAAGTGCCACTTTGATGATTTCTTTTGTTTTACCGGTTTATTATCGTGGACAGTTCCAACAATTTCCTAGAAAAAGTATAATGAATGGCCAAACAATGGGAAGAGATATTAAATCTGGAATATTTACACCTACTTCCCTTTTCAAATTCCACAAAAACATTGAACCCTCTCCAACATCATTGACTTTTTCAAATGATCACTTGTTGACATCAAATGCAAGGCCATTGTCTGGGCAGAAAGAGTTTGTGGTTGAAACTGTAGAGTTTGCTTTACCCAAGGGAAGAGAGGCATGTCCAGAGTCCAAGAATTACTATTGGGGGCCCAAGGAGCAAGAAAGGCTGGTACTTGCAGATTATATCAATGGAGATAGTCTGTCTCTTCACCTCTATGGTAAGATCTTCCAACAACTTATATGTGTTCTATCTCTATTCTCTACTCGAAGTTTTGCAATTATCTTGCTTCTATATTTAGTATCTAAGAGCCATTATTCATTGTTTATCTACATCTATTATTATTTTATTATTGTTATTGTTATTGTTATTATGAAGTTCTTTCATTATCTTTTCAAACAAAAGATGTTAAAAGGTGTTATTCATTCGGTGGCATTCTCCTTCGAGAGGTTTCAGGCCTAGTTTTCCTTGGGTAAACTAGACTAGTGTATTCTTGTATTACATATCAACAAAGTTCTTGGATTTTGTTCAAGATAAAAAATAAAGGAAATGTTAGAGGAGTTCTTTGTCATGTTCCAAATGCAAATAGAGTTATCCTCAATTATATCTGCTTGCACTTGGACCACCATATCACTTACTATGAAGTATCTCATGACTACTCACTTGTAGCACCTAGGAAACCCCAACAAGCAGAAAGCTTCATGCTATGTTTTGCAAAGGGGAAAGGAAGGAGGTCATTGCCAACTGATTTCCCACCCTCAAGGCATACAATGGATGCATCCTTTAAGTAATATCTTCCAACTTACTGGATCCATTCTCAAAATCTTGTCCAATATGCAAATAGCTGGTTGTGTTTGGTTGGATGTAGAATATTTTGGAAATGGATATTTTGGGAAATATGAATTTCCCACTTCTTGGTTGTCAGTAAAACATGAGAAGTTTAAATTTTACCAAAATCTAGAGTGCACAACATCACAAAATGAATTTGCATCTTTTAAAAGGTAAGTCATTTTGCTTGATTGAGCTAAGATTGGCTTCAGTTTGACGAGAGAATGGAATCAGCTCGATCATAGCCTTTTAAGTTGAGGCCTCTGTCATGGTCTGCTTTTTTTTTTTTGAAACAGGTTAAGGTATTGAATTATATTAATGTACGAGGAAGAACATAAATAACAACCCATGTATAATGAGAGCCTGTACAATGGGAATATACAAAAACGTGTCAACAAAAGAAAGGTCCAACTTGTAAAATGGAGAAAATCCAGACACCCTTGAATGCCCTGTGTACACTTAACCAAGAACACAAAAAGCCTATAACCTCTGTCATGGTCTATTACATGCCCTTGATACTTTTTTTTTCGAGAGAAAGAGAGAGAAGGCAAGGTTAATTGTATTTTATGGCATCAGCTCATTACATGCCCTTATACTTTCTAATTAATGAATTAATTTTTCTAAATGAAACCAAACTCAACTATAGGCTTCCTACATATATATATAGGCTCTCTTTGGAATCATTCAACAACTTGGTAGTGGTAGACTGGTACATGGTGATTGCTCTTAGACTTGAACCCATCTTATGCTTGTCAGCCTCAGATTTTAATATTGCACTAAGCAATGGCCCCTAATTTAGTGATGCACTCCACACTTCTGGATTGGGCAGTGTAGGTTGACGGTGAATTTATCAGTTAATTCCTGAAGGATGAATCAAAGTTGGTCGATTAGTTGCACTTTGGACTTTTGATAATTTCTGAAATGGGTGCCCAAGTAGAGTGCTAAAAAAAACTGCAGGATTAGAAGTGGCTAAAATCCAAGGATGTTGTTGGTAGATATAAATAAAATTTTGAGGGGTAAAAACATGTAGAAAACTTTTTGTACAGAGGGGAAGAGTATCATACACGTACTCTTTTTTCAGTTAATACATTATACTTCACTTCTCTCAAAGTTGGGCTTTTGATTAAGTGTACACAGGGCATTCAAGGGTGACATCTCAAGGGCTTTTGGTTAAGATGTACACTTAACCAAGAACCAAATATTCATTACCCTTTTTGCAGTTTGATTTAATATTTCTAGGTAATGAATTAAATGTGGATTGCTACACATATTGGTTAAGGAATATTTGGTTAAGTGTAGCAAGATCTTGTGACAATAAAGGAATATTTTGGTTTGTTTTTTGGACTGTGACAGAGGTTGTTTAGAGAAAATATGATAAGATTTTGCCATCCGGTTCTACGGGTATTAGTATGAGATTTGTGAGATCAAAGTTGGGCTTTTGGAATTTTTTATGGATTATCACCATCATAATGTATTTTTTCCTAATGAATTTTATCTTATTCTTCAACAAAAGCACAAAAAAAAAAACAAATCTTATTGGCCCCTTGGCAAATAAGGTGCCAAATGTGCCAACCTAGTAACCATCACCTAATTACTATCTTTGATTTGAGGACATTCAACTTACAAACTAATGTTT